CCATGCTGAAGGTATGGCACGCCAAGTATATATGCTGTTGATTCACTTTAAGGTCCGTGTTTCACCAGTTATGGGACCACTAAGCACGCGAGTTTCTGGGCAATAGCAGGCCAACTCACCACGTGCTTTTCAGGGCTTCCCTGCACTAAAAATGTGCAAAACTAGAATGAATCATCTGCTAGAACATGGAACCGTACGCCGCAATATGTTTTGTCTTTTGTGCAAGTGGTGACGAGTGAAGCAAGGCCCTTAGGGCCACTTGTCGTAAGGAAAGGAAACAAAAGAAAGAGGGGAATGAATCTTCTTCTAGAACATGGAACACATACGCCGCCATATGTTTTGTCTTTTGTGCTGGTGACGAGTGGAGCAAGGCCCTTAGGGCCACTGCTCGTAGGAAAAAGAAACAAAACAAAAGAAAAAGAAACATGTAACTTGTAACCCATAACTGCTTGAAAGCAGACCTGACTTCGGATCCAGAACATATATTGCTGGCCTGCTCTTCTTTCATGCGAAATTTGCTGAACATCTCTTGAGATGTTGGGACCCTTGCATATGTACTGCTGGGGTCCTCCGCGAAAAAGACTATTCAAGAAGGAATACGTGGGCCCTATTTTTTTTTCTGTGGGGAGGTGAACCATTGGCCACCTCAGCCAGCCTTCTCCAATTTTTTTGTATACCCTATTTAGTGGGGCGCGTCGCATCACGTGCGCGTGCATGCTTACATCGCAGGTATGGGTTGGAGTATAGGCGGAGTATAGGGGTGATATAGGGGATATTGGGGGTGTTAATAATGTTGGGGGCGGCTCGGGAGTGTTAGGTTGGTGTATGTGGGTATTGGGGGCCGTTATGGGGGTGTGGGGGGGGTTATTAGGGGTTCTGGATCCCAAAAAAAAAAAAAAAAAAAAAGTGCAGGGCGCCGATGATCCCCGACTGCTTGGTGCCGACCAGCCGATCGGTCGGCGGGTCGGCAGCCGACCAGTCAAGGGCCGCCGACCGTCGGGGTGTGCAACCCTGAGGGTCAGCAAAAACACACGCTTGGAGGTAGTAATGGTGGTTTAACTTTTTTTAAGTTTTTTTCATACCAATGTGTCAAAAAAACCTTCAGAGCTGAGAGGAATGGCCTCCTCAAGTGATCCAAACCACGGCACCGTTGGTATCTACCTCTCCAGGAAATGGCTGAAAAAGCAACGCAATGATCGTAATCAGAAAACTCCGGCGAAAGTGAGCACTGTGGCTGTAAACGGGACACAGTCCATTACCATTTTCCGGTGAAACAAAGAACCAACATGGTGTTAAATAACACAATTGTAGGAATTGACCCTCGGGCATATCGGCCTTAAACCACCAGTACATGGCTCCAGCCAAATAGAGAATCACGACTGAGCCTCGCCTAAAATCCCGTAGGGTTCGAGGCAATCGGACCAAAATGGCTGGCGGCGTCAGCCAAAACAAAACGAAAACGCCGCAGGGGCGTTTCGGCAAAGCTCGGTGCTCAGGGGAAATCGGCCGCCTCGTACCAAAGAGGCCCAGATGTACTTGTGGTTCAAACTACCTTCTGCAGAGTCCTGCACATAGACGATCCTTATCTAACCATGTCAACTTGCTCAGAGATCTCGACCAGAAAAATTGGGAAGGAAAGAAAAGGTCATTAGGGATGATTAGGGCGATAAAAATGTCCGGAAGGATCCTGAGGACTTCAACACCACAGGGTTACCCTTTCACATTGCCACAGCAGGCTGCAGAAACAACAAGTAACAGATAGCTTCATGGCCGTCCTCGTGCAATCAACCCCCCCACCTGCGCACCACCCTCTTCTTGGCCTCCTCCCACAGATGGCAGAATGTGCAATATGCTCAGGGGTTTTACTGGCATGCAGCGCTTCTTGAGAAAATATGGTATGCCTGTACCCCACGGGCACTTTCTTTTTTTCCGGAAAGAAAATTCAAAATTCATTATGTGCTGGGAACCAGGCCCAGCGTCCCTCACATCTCTTGCTGCGGTCAGTGAGCACGGGCACATTTTTTCTTTAGCAATCATTTGCATTGTTTCAAATGCTTTTACTGATACGTTAACTAACCGCACACAAACTGAAAGGGCATACAGACTTCATTTCAACTTACCTTAGTTGGAAAGGAAAAAACAAAAAACAAAAAAAAAAACTTACCTCAGTTGCAAGCAATGCTTTTTCCAACCTATCTTGAGTGGAAACTGCCAGGGGAAAGGGGAAAAAACAGAAAAAAAAAATCGCACAGACAACAACAAACACAAACAGTGTGCAATATACATTCAGAGTCCGAGAGAAAGATAATCAATCGATCATCACAACCATCAAATGACACCGGTGTTTGCTCTCTTGGATGATGCACCAAACACACGCAAGTTGGGCAGCATGCTCCTAAGTTCTTCCTTTTTGCCCCTCGGCCCCTAACCCCGTTTTTCATTTTCCCCTGTTTGCACACGCTTGAGCGTACCAGTGCTATTATTAGCAGGGGGACCCAAGCAGGAGATTGGTGTACGCATGTTACGGTTAGCAAACAGACGATCAGGAGTTTTGCGTCCTTGAGGAACCGGATGCTTGCATATTTGATCAGACTGACCACATATCCATATCCATATCACATTTGAATCTTTTGATGACATGTTCGGCGTACTCTGATCACACTTTGATGACGTTTGATCATATCATATTTAGATCATAGTCGCCATGTATAGATTGGTGCATGGAACCCACAAAACAGCAAAGCAATTTGCTTAAGTTTGCTAGAAACAGAATAGCAAAAAAGACATGGATATCATCAACAGAGAAAGGGGTGTTGGGGATTTGCCGGGCGAAAAGGAACCGGACTGATGCTCCCCAAAATGGATATGGAGCCAGGACCATAAGGCCCTGTGAAAAAAAAAGCAAAGAAAAGAAAAGAAAAAAGAAAAAAAGAAAAAAAGAAAAAAAGAAAAAAAGAAAAGAAGAAAATGGTATTTGGTGAGAAGGTCAGGTTAGTGATGGAAAAGACAAACCATGGATCCTCTTGCCGTTGAGGTATGCTCCACCTCCACGCACTGCTGTGAAGATCTGCAAACAGTTGTACTGTCGTCAGTTCTTTTGTAGTTCTTTCAGGATAAAGAGGGGAAGAAGCAGAGAGAAAAAGGGGGTGGGGGATGGGACCGGACGAAAGAAAAAGGAGAGTTTGGGCATGTAGAGTAGCTGCGTTGAAAACATTTGCCAGGATAGATATCAATATTATCAAATCATCAAAAAAAAAAAAAAAAAAAAGGCCACCACTCACCCAACCAAAGAAGAGGAAGGAAAGCCACAAAGCGCATGAACTGCCATGAAGTCAGAAACCAAAACCGCACAGAAAGCTGTACAATGTGTCTAAACTTTGGACTTCAGAACCTCCGGGGGCATCCGTAAAATTAGAACGAGACTGAGAAGATTAGCATGGCTGGCCCCTGTGACAAAGATGACACACATAAATCGAGAAATGGTCCGACTGGAGAAAAACAGGAAACAGGACCTCGCAACTGTACACAGACTATAGAGGACAAAACACACTCCTGAATGAACAATAAAGAAGCAACATACCCCAGCCTTTCGGCTGACTTCATGTCACTGTCGCTAACTAAATCAAGAGTATACATCATGATAGATGCACATTGCCACTACGATAATGCTGGGTGGGGGGATCCCCCCCAAAGATAACAAAAAAAAAAAAGGGAAACAATTAGACTCAACCAGACTCGCGCATGCAGGCCCCCTTCTGCCATCCTGGTTCTCCTCCATTTTTTATGCCCTTCTCCCCTCATCTTACCAATGAGGGGAAGAAAAGGTTAGGGAAGGGAAAAACACTAACCAAGCTCATTGCGGGGGACAGAAGGTGACATGACTTCAGGGAGTGGATGAGCACAACGGGGAAAAAGAAGGCTACTTTCTTCCCCCCCAACACAACGCACCTTCATCATGACTGCATCCAACTGGAAAGATAGCTTGCATACGTTCATCATCACAAGGATGCGTTCAGGGAGGACTACCGTCTTCACCTGAATAGAACACCCAGTCTTTCTTGGCGCATCTGGACTGAAAGTTGCGCCAAATACACAGCTATAACGACCGGGTGTTCTGTCCCGGTTGAAGACTGTAGGAAAGATAAGAGGATGAGATAGAACCTGCACAACAGCTATGGAAACGAACACAACTGCTCAGACAACTACAACTTCAGGAGTGGGAGGTGGCCACAGCCATAATGCACTTGACCGGAGTGAAGACTTTCAGGGAGGACTACCGTCTTCACCCGAATAGAACGCCCAGTCATTCTTGCCGTATCTGGACTGAAAGTTGCGCTAAATACAGCTATAATGACCGGGTGTTCTGTCCGGTTGAAGACGGTAGGAAAGATAGAGGATGAGATAGAACCTGCAAAAGCTATGGAAACGAACATAACTGCTCAGACAACTGCAGGAGTGGGAGGTGGCCACTTACAGAAAAAGCGATAATGCGCTTAACGGGGGTGAAAATGTGGGGCAGTAGTATAAGGGGGGACCACAAACGAGGGCAACAAAGAAGGAGAGGGTGGGCCAGCCAGTGTCGGAGAATCGTTGAGAAGGACAGCATGTGCTAGCAAAACTGAAATGGAAATGGAAGGAATGGGTGGGTGGCTCATTGGGGGGGCAGACCCTTCCCCTTTTCCTATAATATGTTGACATCACAGAACACAGGACGACGAAAATGCAGACAACATGGAACATGTCTTATTGGATTGATTGGTATCTGTGGAGTCGATAGCAACCAGAAAAATAACGACGCAAATCCGAACTGCAAACACCTGCTCGATCATGCGATGCAGTCATTCATGCAGCCAAGAATCATACCAATTTTGCAAACACCTTCTCGTGCATGCCAAGTCGCCAACTGCTCCCTTGCCAAACCAGTCCACGACATTCACATCGCAAGATTGTTTAAAAAAATACATTCTTATTTGCAATTCCGCCTTGAATTTTGTGTGAGGTAAAAAAGTGTGCATGCAAGACATTGATGTCTTGTAAATGGAGTAACAAAATCTTCAACCTCTTCTACTGATGATCATCCAGGACGATAGGATGCATGGCGATTGATCAATTGCTTCATTGAAAAGTCAGCCTGCAATGCTTAAATTTCTTAATGGAAAATCCGGGTTATATTTGCCACCACCTACAGGATCGATTGAAAAAGTTGTTGAGAAATAACTTCTGAGTCCTGACACGTTGGTTAGCTGAGGTGGCTCCACGTGTTGGATATAGCTGCTGCGGCGTTCAAGGCCTCCCCTTCGGTACTTTTGCCCAAGGGACATCTGAGGCCCCCCATCCGCATTGGAAAAACAAAACACTGCCAAGCACCAGTCCTCCCCATGGTAAAAGCCTTGGCGGAGTTAGTGAATAGGATTAACTCTCGATTACCTGGACGCGGCCAATCCGCCAATGTTAATTCTCGAGGCATTCAAAAAAAAAAAAAAAAAAAAAAAAAAAAAAAA